CTCCCTCCCTCCCTCCCTCCCTCCCTCCTTCTGAATGGCTCAGAAGCAAAAGCACACACATTAGCCTCCAGTGAGGTATTGCTAGTTCTTTCGGATTTTGATGCTAGGTTAGATCTGGGCTTCTTCTGGAGAATGGCACCGGTCCTTATAGCCCTAGGAATAAGGCCTCCCAAGTAGTCTTCCTGATGACCTATATAGATGCCCTGGGCCCCTAGAAGATGAGAACATGCCTGCCTCTCCCATTTCCCAGAATGTGCCCATACTTCCTCATAACAGATCACTTTCTATATCCATTCTTTGCAAAACCAAATCTTCAGTGTGCACACAGGCACAAGCCATTTCTTGCCAGCTTGGTGACTGTGGGTTCATGGAGTGGGACAGGAGAGGTGCTGTGCCTCTTCATCAAGTCTTAGCCCTTAGAAGGCTTCATTCTTGTGTGTTCCTGTGTGCCTGACTGATCTAGTCACTTAATCCCATCTTTATTTTGCAATTCTGTTTGTCAACTAAATTCTTTTTCTTCTCTGGCAACCAGAATCTCTTAAGAGTTTAGAGGGCAGCTATCTGTACAAAAATGTTGTTTCTGTCTGGCTCAAATAGCAGATGACACTGAGAAATCACGCAAGCTGCTGCCTCTTAACACGTTAACATCAGACCTCAGGCAAACAATCAGAATGCTACTGTGTGTGGAAATTAGTCAGCCTGTGGAATAGACTCATTGTCCTGTGGTGAGATATACATGGTGTTCCTGTGTTTTCTCTCAGCTCTATTAAAATATCACAGTAATCTTAGACACGACTCAGTTAATTTTTGCCTTTGAGGATTTAATAACAGCTGCCCTTATGCCCTTACTCTCCCATCTACCCAAAGCTATGCATTGGAGCTGCAGGGCCTCATGCATGGATGCTGGGAAACTTGTCCTTGTTTTGTCCTATCAATGGCTCTCCTTCTAGACTCTTCTTTGCTCTTTCACAGAGCTCCTCTAGCTATGGCCTACGAACCAAGGTTGACCTAAACTAGATTCGATCGATGCACATAATGACTAGGTACAACGTGCTTAGGAGTAAGACTCTGACAGATAGGCCAAAACACTGACTTCCCACCTGTCTCCTTAAGGGACCTGCTGTGTATGTGTGGGTGTTTGGGGGGGTGTCTTCATTGTCCCTTCAAAGTGACCAGGCTTATGCTTCAGCTCTGTGAAAGGGAGTTGTGGATAATCTTGGCTCATCAATGTGGCAGTAGTATTTATACTTTAAGATCACACTCTTGCAGACCAGCTTTGAACTAAGAGAGATGCCTGGGATGGCATCTTGAAGATTTGAACTGAGAGAATGCCTAACCCAGGGCAAGCAGAGGAGACAGGAGCTTCCAGGCTGTCCCCAAAGTGCCTCATGCAGCATTTCTGCACCTGCTATTGTCACGTGAGGAAGCAGAGGAACTGAATCCAGACACCTCATGCAAAGCCTAAGAAGCCCCTAGATACAAACACAACTTGAACATGTAGAGCTTCTCCAATTTGTCATCTGTTTCTCATTGGCTACTGAACATTAAACACTCTCATTGGCTAGCATTTGTTAACCTGCTGTGACCAGATTTACTGATTATTACTTAACTCTGCCAAATTTCTCTCCAGTAAAGCGAGCTAATAATAGTAAGTCCCTTAAAGGATGGTGAGGTCAAACACTAGCCTGTGATCTCCTGTTATAAGTTAGAGATGTGTTTCCAGATCGGGAGTGGACTCCTGGCATTGGTCTCTCTATGCATCTTGTTTTTATATACATATAGACCTATGGTAAAGTTTAACTTATATATTAGACACAATGGGAAATTAATAATAAAGTAGAGAAAGTATGACATAAAAGCCACGTGAGAGTGCTTTATCTCTAAATGTAAAGACACATATTTCAGACCATAAGTGACTTTGGACCATGACTGAAACTGTAGAAAACAAGTCCATAGATAATAGAGGATGACTACAGATCACTAATAACAATAGCTGACGCTTACTAAGCAGCCAATAAATGTTATCATTTACTGGTTGCCCAGGGGATACAATGGAGAACAAAATCCAGATAGTGTTTCTGCCCTTAGCCAGTAACTCAGTGGAGGGCAGGCATAAGGAAGTGAGGAAATCCATGGATGAGGAGACAGCTTAGTCAGTCAAGTGCTTGGTGCACAGCGTGAGGATCTGAATTCAATCCTGCAGGACATACGTAAAAAAGCCAGGTGTGGTGGTACACACTTGTAATCCCGGTGCTGGGGATGCAGGCTATCGGATCGCAGATGCTCCCTAGGCAACCAGCCTAGCCTACTCCGGGAGCTCCAAGCTAATCAGACACGCTGTCTCTAAAAGGATGGCTTCTGAGAAATAACAGTGAGGTTTTCTTCTGGCCTTCACATACATGTGCATTCACATGAATACACACTCAGGCACACACACAGCCACCCCCCCAAAGAATTTATTCACAAAAGAGGTAAATGTATACATGCAAATGTAGGTCTATAGGGTCTTGCAGTAGAAACCATTGAGACACCTGTTTTTGCATGTTCCTGGTATTTGTTGCATGATTTGGGTTTGCGGTGATGCTGTACGTAACCATGGGCACAGGACCTCAAGTCAAAAATTACCCCCTCTGGGATGCCTTCTCTTGCCTCTCTGGGCTAAAATAGTTGCTGTCTTCACATCTCTGCAAACCCACACACTCATTTACTTAGCACTGTTACCCTGCTTTGCAACTTCCAGGTATCAGGTTGAAACAAGCTTCTACTCCAACACAGGTTGAGATTGCTTGATAGTACTGGTATATCAGCCCCAAAAGCTTAGTCAGTGTTATAGAATGAGTTTCTTGGAATGTCCTTTTACCCTGCATCTTTCCAGGCCAAAGCACCCAGGGAAACCCCAGCAGGCAGATTCTATAAGCAGAGGTGACTCTGTAGCATTGGCTTCACTATTAAACTTGAGCTCGTCATAAAATCTCCAGGTGCCCATCAACCCCACCATCTCCACCCTCTCCCAACATGCCAGCTTTTGGACTCCCAAAGGAGAGCCTCCGTGTCACTTGGGGTATCCTCCATAAACCTAAAAGAATTACTACCGATGATTTTATTTCCCATCCAGGTGTTCCACCAGGTGTGATCAATATTGTGTTTGGAACGGGGCCCAGGGTTGGTGAGGCCCTGGTGTCCCACCCAGAGGTACCGGTGATTTCCTTCACTGGGAGCCAGCCCACAGCTGAGCGGATTACCCAGCTGAGTGCCCCCCACTGCAAGAAGCTCTCTCTGGAGCTGGGAGGCAAGAATCCTGCTATCATCTTTGAGGATGCCAATCTGGAGGAGTGTATCCCAGCAACTGTTAGGTCCAGCTTTGCTAACCAGGTATGAGTCCCGCTTACTAAGGCCCTGTGAGGTTGGAGCTATTTCATCACAGGACCAAGTCCAGTAGGGTTGGCAATGGTTTTGTTATTTTTTTTTCTGAAAGTAGGATCAGTTATAGTGTTATTCTAACACCCAGGAGTGGCCTGGTACAGCCACAGCTGCTTTTTGCCAAGTTCCTTGTCTTGAGTCACACAACTTTTATCAAATGCCAGCCATGGGTACAATGACTGCTTTCGCTACTCTAAGCATCTCCATTTCTTTATCCACACAGCCTCCTGTCTCTTCTTTGTAACCACGTGTCCTGTTACCAGTAGATTTTTCTTCTCTCCCACAGTATCCCTGATGCCTTTATTCACCAAGTTCCCATTTCTTCCAACATTCAAGTTGGAGTGACAGAGAACTTCAGAACATCTTTGCAACTTCTATTATTATTACATCGCAGATATTTCTGTGGTCTCTGCCATTTCTGTTAGGTTTTACGAAGTCATAGCCTCCCAGAGGAGTAACAGGAGGCCAGATTAACTGGACCATAATTTCCCACAATGGGAACGGTGCCTCTATTTCTTTAAAATAATTTGAACAGTGCTGCCTTCCAAAGATATTCTACAAATGTTTAGTGACAAACATGAGTTTCAATTAATATTTTTGTGATAATTGTAATGATAGTTATTTCCTTTACCATAGTTTCCAAAGACAATGGTTAGAAATATAGTGTTTGGGTATCAGTGGACAATTCAATGTTATAACATAAATTATTTAATCATTAAAATGAGCAGATGCCAAATAAACACTTAAACTAGTGTACCAAGGGCATCATGACAATGAGAGAGGGACAAACTCTAAGAACTGAGATGAGGGAAAGTGAGTTGACAGGTTGTGTGCTAAGCAAGGAGGCACAGACTGAAGTTACCCATCTATCAGGATCCTTTTAGGATTTGGCTTCGTCTACTGAACCTTCCTTTGAGGAAGAGGGGTGTTTTAAGGTATCAATGGGAAAAAGAATATGGTCAAGCCAAGGCAACAAATGAATTTTAAGCAAACTATAATAGCTTGATTTATTTGCTTTAGCTGATTGCCAAGTTCCAGGCAGGGCATATTTCTCCCTTAATTGAAGATTATTGGCTTCAGGGGAGGGAGGGGTAAACTATCAGTGTGACCTTGAATATATATTAATTCAAAACTTGGTTTTCCAATGGTGATCTGAGAATACCAGCACACTGCAGGACTTTTATGGAGAAAGTATCCAAGTCAGAGCCTGGCATAGCATAGCGATTCAGTGAATGAGTTCTTTCTTTCCTCATTCCCTTTGGAATCATTCTTTCTCAGATCTCAGTGTAACCTATATGTTCCTAGCATTAAGTGATGGGAAACTTGGTAAAACTCTCAAGTCTCGACACCATGCCCTCCTTTGGCACAGGGAACTTATGCAAATGAATCCAACAGGTGTTTGGCAATCTTCCAAGCCACATAGGCAGATGGTTCTGATAGTGGCCCTGCTGGAAAAAGAATTCACTTTTTCAGAACATTCACTGCTTAATTTGAACAATAAACCTTTGTGCAAATACAAGATAATTAGAAGCATTCTGTTCCCGGGATTGTTGTGAACACCAAATATAAATGTGATGAAAAATGTTATTAATATTTATGCATCCATATACTTACATGCATTTTGCTTTCAAATGTTTAGATGTGCTTTATAAACTATTTCATGTTGTATTTAAATGACAGTTATGATTGTTTTTCTCTCCAAAACCTACCAGGACCTTTCCCCCTGAACACTCAGCATCTCTATTTAGATGTCTAGTTGGGATCGGAATCAAACATGCCCACAGCACTTTTCCTCATCTCCCTCTCTCTCCACCCATTGAAAAACGACCCTTCTCTTTCCCTCCTATTTGCCCTTCCTTGGAAAAACATAATGTCCAAAGTGGTGCAGAAGCCAGAGCCTGGGCCAGCCCTGATCTTGCTCTTTTCCTTGTAGATCTGTCTGATCTATAAACAGATCTTGTTGGCTCTATGTTTAACCTGTATTCCTAAACATTGCCTTTCTAGTGTATCCACACAGTTCTCCCACACTGTTTGGGTCCTACACTCCTTTAAGAATGTCGAATTCAGTGGCATTATTTCCTCTCTCCACTTCCATTGATACCTCCCCAGTACAAGATACCTATACTTATTTGAGCTTTGGGAATATTTTGCCTCACTCCTCACCCTAACTTCCTTGCAGTTTTGTTTTTTTTTTTTTTTGTTTTTTTTTTTTCACACAGCTTTGTGAATGATCATCTAGAAATGTAAATCTCAGGGTCAGGGGAGATAGTTCAGTTGGGAAAGTACTTACCGTGCAGGTATGAGACTCTGAGTTCAACCCCCTAGGACCCACCCAAGCCAGCCACACACTGTAGTCCTAGGACTAAGGAGATGAAGACGGACAGGTCCTCTGGCTCTAGGGTCAGTCAGCCTGGCCTACTCAGAGAGCTCTAGGCCATTGAAAAGACCCTGTTCCAAAACTCCCAAAACCCAAGCAAGCAACAACACAACAAAACTCAAGGTGAAGTGCTCCTGAGTAATGACACCTGAGGTTGTTTTCTGGCTTCCACGTGTACACACACAACCACACATACCCTCACACACATGCACACAAATACACGTATACATATACACATATGCACACACACACACACAACAATACACACCACAAAACACGCATATACACAAAGGCACACACACACACACACACACACACAATGTAAATCTGATCATATCAGTTCTCTCTGCTGTTTCTTTTCCGTGATGCTGAGAGTGAAGCAAAGTCCTTCTGAGCCTTTGAGAGTGTCAGCCTCTCCCCTCTTATTCCCACCATCTTCCCGTCACTGTGTGTCACTCCCTTCACTCCTGTCCTCAGCCCACTCACCTCCTCGCCTTGTTACCCACACCAGCCTCAGTCCCACACTGGGTCTCCACTCTTAACGTTGGAACCCCTCTCCTCTAGTCTTTACTTATCTAGCTCCTTCATATTCACCGAGAGTCCTTTCAAATATCTACTCTGTGAGTGCTGTTCACCAATTCCTTCACTGGAATTCCTAATTTTATCATTTGCCTAATGTTCTTCCGTTGTTTTGATAACTCTGAAGTCGTATCACGTAGTGGATGTTTATTTGTGTTTCTGTCTGTCCTCCTGTGAGATTATGTGTTCCATGTGGTAGGGACTAGTCTGGCTGACAGCTAGATCTCACTGCCTGGACCAGTGCCTGATACATGGCAGGTGATCAAAAACATGGGGCATCTCTCCATGAAGAAGAATGTCCCTAGCTTTATCATTGTCTTCACTGTTGGCAGGGGGAGATCTGCCTCTGTACCAGCAGGATCTTCGTCCAGAGGAACATCTATAGTGAATTTCTGAAGAAATTTGTAGAAGCTACCAGAAAGTGGAAAGTTGGAATGCCCTCTGACCCATCAGCCAGCATGGGTGCTTTGATAAGTAAAGCACATTTGGAGAAAGTAAGTAATCTCTGCCATCTCTGTATGTTCCAGAAAGTTCTTGTTTAAAGAGAAACCCAGAGGCTGGCCATGGTGGTGCACACCCTTAATCCCAGCACTGGAGAGGTAAAGGCAGGTGGATCTCTGTGGGTTCCAGTCCAGCCTTGTCTACATAGTGAGAGGATAG